AGTGTACCAACCAGACTTTCCAAATCTTTTCGGCAAATATTATTTTCCATTCCACTCCTGTTTGTCCATGTCGGATTTTCGTTCTCACTGTGGCTAAATCCTTTAACCTCTTCCGGCTGTCCCTTCTGTCTCAGCGTCTCTGCTCCAGTTCTTTTCGGCAAAATTGAGCTGCAAAAACAGCTTCTCTCCTGGCTCTTTCTTCTTTCCAGCTCACCCTCTCTGCCAGTTTCGCGTTGCCTTCCTCTTTGGGTAGTCAGCAATAGTAACAAGTATTCCAATTTCCACTGCTTCTCTGTCTATTCGCTCCCTTCTTATGCGGTCGCCATCGCTCCGGTCCTAACCAAAAGGCAGGATAGCTCCTCGTCCGTTTAGGGGATTTCTCCTATCCGCAGGAGGATTTTTTACCTTCAGCAACAAACCTTATTCTTAACTCTGACTATCAGCAGAAATCTATTTCAATTTGGGTCAGATTTACGGTGTATTGTAACTTTTGATATTTAAAACTGCTAGTTAAATTTCAGATTTTTAGAGGAGCTGGGGAGAGTACATAAATGTTAAACTCAAATTTGCATATTTGATAATATATAAAAATATATGATGCTTCAGTGAACAGTTAATAAAAAAATCTGACTTGATATATGTAATTGAATCTATAAACTAAGCTTTTTTGAATTCTGGAAGCTGTAGTAGTCCAATATATTTGAAGGACACAGGGCTGGAGAAATTTTGCCTAGATATTTTAGAATGCTTTTATTATTAAGATTATTAGCCTATTATTAGATGTATTGAATCCCTTTATGCTGGTTCTTAAGTAAATGATTGGGGTAAATTAATGATAAGGGTTTTAAGAAAAAACATATGGTTCTCTGTTTTACAGTTTTCAAGAGTATATGTTCATTCATTATAGGGATTCAATAGGAAATAATATGAGTGACCTTCACTGTAGCCATTATATTTTACTGATTTCACAATTATCTTTTGAAAATGTTTCAAATTTTTGCTGTAAATTGCCAGTTGATTGTAGTTTAAAATGTTATTTTGTATTCAATTCAGCAAGCTGAAGTAGAAACTAAGAGAAAAAGTATTACCTTGTCTCGTCACCTCCTAAAGAGTTATTGGGAAAGTTATTTGTATATTTCACAGATAGTAACATGTACTACTGTGACTACTCTTGTTGCTCTAAGTTTTAAACATTGGCTTTTAGTATATAAGGGGAAATGAATTAAATAAGTTTTTCAAATTCAGTGTACTTATTGCTTTGTACTTCAAGGCAAAACATTTCATAATTATCTTGGTTCATTTTTTAAATCGTCTACTTATAAATGCAATAAAGCGGGAAAGATAGAATTATATACCCAGCAATAGTAGTATCAAGTGGCATTTTAGCACTAAATCAGTAATGTAGAAAGCCACTTCCCACTATTTTAAAAAAAATTAAATGCATTTTATCTCCAGAGTCTCTGAAATCTAAAAGCAAATTTAACCCAGTACTTTAGACCAGGGGTGGGTTCCAGCTGCCGCTACTGCCTGTTTGCTCAGGGATGCCCTGTGGGTGTGCGCACAGGGGCGCATGCACAGTACTATAAAAATACTTCTGTGCACGTGCAGAAGCAAAAAACAAGATGGTGGCGCCTATGGTGGCACCAATATAACCGGTTTGGGGGTGTGGCTGGCGGAGTTACTACCTACTCAGCCAAACCAGTAGGAATCCACCTCTGCTTTAGACACAACAGTTCTCTTTGTGTACAGTGTGTGTTGTCATATATGTAAAAGATCATTCAACACACATCACTGTTTTTTGTAGCTTCATATGAATGACTCCAGAAGTGATAGCAGAGAGTGATATCAATGTATTCTTTCAGAAAACATTTATTCTGACCTTACCTGCCTTAGATCTGTTGTAAAGTTACAATGAATTCCAAATTTCCATACACATGATACACAGGTATGTGTATCATGTGATCACCTTTTGTGACCTTCTGACAAGCAAAATCAATAGGGAATTCAGAATCACTTAACAACCATGTTACTAAGTTAAAAACTGCAGTGATTCACTTACAGGCTGTGGCAAGAATGGGGCAAAATTTACTTACCAGTAATAAGTGTCTTGCCTAGCATTGGAAATTTTGGGCTCAATTGTGGTCATAAGTCGAGGACTTTCTGTACTGTATCTGTAATACTACAATGTTTGCTACCAAGGCTAATTTATATATGTGTGTGTGCACTTATTAATAATTTTTGAACAATTTGAAAGTTAATTTTTTGTTACAAAAAGACAGGCATTTTAGTGTTTGTTTGTTTTTTTTCCCCTTTGGTCAGTCTGAAAAAATAATATTTTAATGATTAATTTTTTAACATTAATGCCTACTGAAATGATGGATTAATAGCATGGTTAATTTAAGAGCATAATTAAACTTGATTGTGCAGCTAAAATAATGCTAGCTAAGTTGTAGGAAAATATTTGTTTTTAGCTCTATCTGGGAGTGTTCCACTGCTGAACTCTAACTAGTTGGAATTAATTATTGAAAGAACTCATAAAAATAAGAATATATTCCCCAGTTTGCACCAGTGATATATACTCTAATTTTAAAAATCAGATAACCCTTTCTAATGCATCCCAGTACTACTGATTTTAAACAGCATGCTTTAGTGATGTCAACTGTGAAATTTTAAACAGCAGTCTGTAAAATCTAATTATTTTACTAATCTTATTAAAAGGGGAGGATTACACTGTGAATAATTTATCTCAACTTTATTGTAATAATTTTGCTGGTTACCAGGTGGGGTGGCAGTTGAAAAATTTGGTGAATGCACTACGAGAGGATCCGAGTGGTGTTATCTTAACTTTGAAAAAGCGACCTCAGAGCATGCTTACCTCAGCACCAGCTTTACTGAAAAATATGAGATGGAAGCCCCTTGCTCTGCAGGTAACAATGCTTAATCATAAATCATACACCATCATTTTAGCTTTAGATTATCTCAGTGCTGCTCTATTATGCTTCATTTTAGCAGCATATGTGGATTTAATCTTGTATGCTTTGAAAATGCTTTGTGAAATATCTGCAGATTTATTTGCTATCTTAAATTAATATTAAATCCACAGCTTGCAAATTTGAGGAAATCTTTCATTCCTAACTTTTAAATGCATATATAACCTGAATTTTACATATCCTTTTTAAAATGCATAAAATTATATGCCTTATTAAATAAATAATTTAATATGAAGTAAAAATAAAATACTAATCTCATGCTTGTGCCTTTCGATTTGTTCATTTTTAAAATATGAATCACCTTCCTCTGTTTAGTGATCAAGTGATACTTTGCAGAATAGAACGAAATCACTGGGTGCAAATCAAATTTCAAGTTGCTTGAGTTCAAGATGAATTTTGGTAGAAGAATTTGATGCTGTTTTCAACATTTTGGGAACGTTCTGTACTTAGGCTGTCCTGAAAATGAAATGGATTGTTTTTAGCTTGAAATGATTTTAAATTGTTTCTATATCACTGGAAGGAAGGTGTCCTAGATACATGGATTATTTCAGTTTTCCAGGCAAAAGGAAATAACATTTCTTGTACTTTGGCTCCAAGCCAAGTGACATTTACTCTTTCCATCACGTTGTAGATACCATGTGTAGATTTTTGGAGAAGTTGCTTAAAAGAGTTAGGGGCTTGCAAAAATATTTACTTTTATTTTTGAAGACAATTTAGTAGGTTGTTGCCATATATTGAGATATTGTTGCTCTTATAAACATCACTTGTACACTATGTTTATATATTTTCAGAAACAAAAATAATAAAATGGAATATGAATTAAGAAAATTGTACTTTTGCAGTATAGGTCCACACAATATCTTACATTAAGTTTGAGGTGTGGCATTGCTAAACTGTTCTGGAACATGTATAAACTTAATGTATAAACACATAAAAGCAATTTCAATAACAACATATTCTGTTACATAATATTTATATCATAGTTTTTCCTAAGAATATTTTACCCTCAACTTTATTTAATGCATTTGAAGGAATGAATAAGAAAAGTATTTTGTGTGGAAAATTGGATGGGCAGAATTTCATTAATTAGTACAAATATTTGGTACTATCCAATAATTCTGAGATTAGAGAGATCCCACATTCAAACAGTGTACCTTGAAACTGAGAAGCTAGAGAGTGAATGACAAAACTGTGATGTCATAAAGCAAATTACACTTGTAAGTATGTGTGGTAGTACTATCATAATACTCATTTTATCATTTGCTCTCTCTTCCTCTCTATTAGAAACTAGGATGGTGGCTGTGAGATTTGTTTTAGATCTTAAAAAATACTTTGACATGTAAGTGAAATAAATAAATCTTTGTGACTCTCCTATATAATCCCTGAAAATTATGAAAAGATCAATATGTATGCCAGTCATTATACTATTGTACAGGTAGTTCTCAACTTACAACTATTCATTTAGTGGTCATTTGAAGTTACAATGGCACTGAAAAAAAATATTTATAATCAGTTTTCACATTTATGAACATTACAGTATCTCATTAATCACATGATCAAAATTCAGGCATAGTTGGCATGTACCCTGTTTCCCCCAAAATAAAACCTACCCAAAAATAAGACCTAGCATGTTTTATGAGTGTGGCTAATATAAGCCCTACCCCCCAAAATAAGCTCTGCTTAAGAACCTGCACAGCCAGTTGCCCACCCATCCCATTTGGTTGCTCACGTTGCCACAGCCATAAGACAAGGCGGAGGGGTGGAACTGCTCCATGTGCCCTGCACCAGCTTAACCTGAGGACGTATACAGCCAAGCCATCTATGCCCACCTACCTCACAGTGACAGCACTGGCAGCCATGTGCAACAGGAGCCCACATGGCCAACTGCCCACATCTTCTGTTTGCTTGTGGCTACAACAGAGCAGGAGGCCAAGCAGTTGGTGCTTCAGCCACAAAGTAAGACTGGTATCAGGGCATGGATGGCCTGGCTGAAGGGGCCCTGAGGTAAGCCAGTACAGGGTGTGGGGCAGCTCCTTTTCCCTGCCTCACGGCTATGGCAAGCCACACAGCCTCCTATCCCACCATGAGCAAGCAGAAAAAGTGAGCCTCCTGTACATGGGAAAATAGTAAGACACCCCATGAAAATAAGCTCTATTGCTTATTTTCAGGCCCAAAAGAAAATAAGACCCAAACTTATTGCCTAGGACCTGGATATCTCCGTAACCGCCTTCTGCAACATACCTCCCAGCATCCAATAAGATCGCACAGGGCGGGCCTTCTCCAGGTACCGTTGGACACACAGTGCTGTCTGGCAGCTCCTCGGGGGAGAGCCTTCTCTGTTGCTGCCCCGGACCTTTGGAACGATCTACCCCCTGAGATCCGGACCCTCACCACTCTCCTGGCCTTCCGTAAGTCCGTTAAAACCTGGCCGTTCCGGCAGGCCTGGGGCTGTTGATCTTGACTGAACTTCATCCCCATTATAACTGAGTGCATGTTGTGTTTTCTGTTTTTAAGGTGTACTGTTCTGTGTTTTAATCTTTTTTAATCTTTTTTAAATTGCTTTTATGTAAGCCGCCCGGAGTCCTCCGGGATTGGGCGGCATACAAATCTATTAAAATTACAAATTACAAAATTAAATTTTGGGGAAAACACAGAGATTTATGATAGTTGTGGTATCCTGGGGTCATGATCACCATTTGTAACCTTCCCAGTTGACTTCCAACAAGCAAAGTCAATGGAGGAATCCAGGTTTGCTGAACCAACACATAATTTACTTAACTGCAGTGATTTGGTTAATGATTGGGCAAATATGTCATAAAATGGGGTGCAATTCACTTAACAACTGCCTTGCTTAGCAACAGAAATTTTGGGCTTGGTTGTGGCCATAGCTGAGAATTACCTGTACATAACTAATCCATATATACAAATATTATGTTGTTTTGCTGTTATACTGCTCTACTTCCTAGAGGAGCCAGAAATGTGCACAAAAGAAAAAATAAGAACAATCAAGAATTAAAGTTTATCCTAAAATAAGACAATAACACCTATATAAATAATGGCATTAAAACCATTGTTTTTTTTAAAAAAAATCAAATAAAAGGTATTTTTATAATATTCAGCCAGAATATTTATAATAACTGTATTAGCAGTTCCCTTCTTATTAGGTTATATTTTTGCCTTAATAATAACAATGTTTTTGTTATTATTTTAATCATTTTGTTCTGTTTTAATATCTATTAATAAATTTGGTAAACTATCTAGAGTTCAGCTGGTTTCAGGTAGATATATTTCCTATATAACTATAATAATATTCACTACAGCCTTCATTTGTTAAAACTGAAATTACAGAGGGAATGCATGTTTTTTCTGAGAACAATTATTGCTACACTTGCTTTTCAGGGATATAATTGTCCGTTTGTTGTTCATGCAATCATTACTTATTGTTTTCTTTTTGGGCAAATAAACTGCAGTTGCAATCATTTTTTCAAAATTTTATAGTCTTAAAGTTATTGTATTTTAAATCATTCTTCTTTATCACATTGCAGGTTTTTGGCATATATTCACTTCCCAATCTCAATATTTCTCTTTTTGGGGAAAGAGTTTTTTAACTTGTAATAGGATCTAAGAATTCAAATAGACCTACTGATTGAAATTAATGAAAAAGCTATGTTTTTGGCGTGGAAGTTACTAGCCTATCTTTTATTACTCTTCCTTAAAGAAAATAATTCATATGTAATATTATTTCAAGAGAGTATAATGTTTAAAGAGAAAAATAAGTATCTTGAATAAAAATTCTCTGGATATGTCTCCGGTAAATGAATACTGGTATAGCCTTAAGTGACCAGATAGATTTTTTTTGATGTTGGTTGTTTATCCATAACCATAATTTTTGCTGTTGATTGAAATTAAGAGGAGATCAATGTTGCTCTCCTCTTAAAAGTTCAGGTTTTTAGGCATAAGGTTGTAAAGATTTTCTTGTTTAGGAAAAAATGCTGTTTCTGTAGAAAAATATATATGCTACACCTAGGATTTCTATTAGAATTTTTTTTCTGTATTGCTAACAAAGGTTTAATGAACAAATTAGGAAAACTGATTGAATACCCTAAGCCTTTCATTACATGAAGTCCTCAAATTATGATCACAACTGAGCCCAAACTTTATGTTGCTAAGTGAAGTGAAACATTTGTTAAGTGAGTTTCCCTCATTTTATCACTTTTCTTGACACAGTTGTTAAGTTGAATTATTNAGGAAATCTGAGCAAGACCCTCCATCGGAATTTCCGCTGGTACTGTCCAAATGGAGTCAAGGTTTAGCTGAAGTCTGTTGTTCTGCCTTCCTCCTGTTGTTTGGATTTTAAAGCAGATATTGCTGTTTTAAATTTAAAAAAAATATTGTCTTGGCAATTATTGGATTTTTATTGATGAGGTTTTTGAATCATTTTGTTACTTTCATGAGCTGGTATGAACAGCTACTTATCTCACAAACAAATATTTTACTAGAATTTTCACATATAGAAAAAAAGATAATGAACATTCATGTTCAAATTAAAAAACAGTTACAGAAATAAATATTTTAGAAATATTTTTGCAATCGCTGCAGATTTTACATAAATTCATACTTGGCAAATATCTAATTGGCGGTCAAATTAGCAAACTGGATAACCATATTAAAAATACTCTTTATATTTCAACTATTAACAAAATTATATTAAAAGATATAAAATATTCCTCTGCCCCTGTCTCAAAATCCTAATGAAAATGTTCTGACTGTTGAAGGATAGTATTTAAAAAGAATGGGGGAAGAAAAATGGAAGATAATGAGTTAAACTTGAATGTTTGAGAGTTATTTTGAAATAATAGTTTCTATGCAGAATTATGAATTTATTTAATGGTTTAATCGTGATTTTATATTTGTGGTTTTCTATTTGTTTCCATATT